GAATGTCTCACCCACAATGACTATGGTTACTTAAATGAGATATAAAGTGAGGCTTGGCGGTACAAGCCTATAACCCTAGCTACCTGGAAGACTGAAACAAGAAGATCACAAGTTCAAGGCCTGCCTGTTTCAAAATTTTTAAAAGGGCTGGGGATATAGAGTTCAGGTAGTGTCCTTGAGATAAAGAAGAAAACTTGGAACAACCAGGTTTGGGGAAAACATATCTTTAAGAACTACTGTATTGGTTAAAAATATGAAAATGATTGCTTTCTTTTTGTGCATTAAAACTTTTTACTGTTTAACATTTTTATTAATGCATATTATTTAAGAAAGGTCTCATCATTTGGGGCAGAGATGAAGAAAGGACAGACACACAGATACAAGTACAGAAAAGTTGAGGTCAGGTAGGCTGTGCTTGCTGATGGTGCAGCACCAACTACAGCAACAACCAGGAACCTCCATGTGTTTCTTAAGTACAGCGTGGGGGTGGGGGTGGGGATTAGCTACACTACAGGAGGTCTCTGTAGGTGAGCACGTGTGTGTGTGTGTGTGTGTGTGTGTGTGTGTGTGTGTGTGTGTGTGTAGATTAGCTAGTCTTGTAAGAGGTCTCTGCAGGTGGGGGGGATTAGCTAGTCTTGTAGGAGTTCTCTGTAGGTGAGCAGTCTCAGGATGTAAAAACACTCTACTTGCACACACCATCAATGTTCACTCAGACCAGAGGAAGGCTTTGCCAATTTCCCACTGAGTCTGAGGTCTTGGTCCTTGACATGACTCAAGTCAAACAATACGTGTTCACTCAGAACTTCACTTGCTCCCTGCACATCATGACATCTTTTATAGATCCTGACAGACAGCTCCATAACCTGCCTAGTTTGAGTGCTGTAAAAGGAGATTTGATAACACGCCAAACTTTAGAATCAGGTTTCAATTCTGCTACTAAGTAACAGACAAGGCTGTACACACAGCTGACAGTAACATTAAAAAGAAGTTATTGCTTTATGCATTTTAGATTTCCCAGATCAATAAATTCCCATTATTTTCTGGGAATGGTGGAGATTGGAAACAAGTTCCCTGTGCATGCTAGGAAAGAACTTCCTGATTGAATTGTGTCCCTAGCCCTGCATTGGTATTTGTTACTTTCTATGAGACAGGGTCTCTCTATGCAGCCCTAGCTGTCTTGAAACTCACTACATAGACCAGGCTGACCTCACAGAGACCTGACTGCCTAGGCCTACTGAATGCTGGGGGTTGATAGCGTGTGCCACCATGCCCAGCTTCCTCCATCAACATACACGAACTGAGCTATAAACAAAACCTGTACCTGTTCTTCAAGTTCAAACTTCCATTTCCCAAAAAAACAGCATAACAAATGCTGGCGAGAACTAAGACTGGCCATATTAAAGGTGAAATAGGCATATGCAGGAAGAAAAACAAAATAGCAAAGCCAGCCATGCTTCCAAGGGCAACAGACTAAAAACAAACAACAAATCACCAAATATAAAAATAAATAAATATATATATATATATATATTTATTTATTTATATATCTCCAAACTGTATGTACTTGAACTGTAAAAGCTTGAAGAAATGAGAGAAAGTAAAGCAAGCAGGTTCAAGATCCAACTCAGTTTGGCAAACACTAAATACAAGGTTCTTTCTCATGTGGAGATATAAACACTGTCCTCATACACAGAGCCGCATATTTCTGAAGTGGCAGGCTCTCTTCCAAACACAACCATGACCAGTTCTAAGGTTTGGCTGCAGTTCTTTCTGGTTTTTTCCAACTAAGTCCAAGGCTGGACAGATGCAACATCAAACCTTGTAAAGCAGTGGTTCTCAACCCTCCTAACGCTGCGACCCTTTAACACAGCTCCTCATGTTGTGGTGACCCTCCAACCATAAAATTATTTCATTGCTACTTCATAACTGTAATTTTGCTACTGTTATGAAGCATAAATCTGATATGTATATCTGACATGTGATCACCAAAGGGGTCATGACCCACAGGTTGAAAACTGCAGTTGTAAAGTAGTATTTGGTGTCACGACTATCCAGTGCAATGTATCACATCTAAAACACTTCTATACAGCAGGACTATCTCATCTCCAGGGCCCAGAGCACTCAGCACACCTTTCTCCACTTGTATCTGTAAGAAACTGGCCAGCCTTCAGACAATTCTTCAGGGTGTGCAACAGGAAGTCCCCACTGTGCACAAGGACTTGTACAGACTTCTAGCTCTTGTACATAGGCTGAAATCAACAAAAACTTCAGCATGAGACTGCCAGAAGAAATGTGGAAGGGGAGGTTCAGTATCTGTACTCCAAAGGCAAAGGCAGGAGAGTGAACCTCCTGGAGGAGGAGACCAATGGTCCACTGAAGTGCCCTTTCAGGAGTGACAGCAGGGTAGGGACTTTTCCTGTTTATCATCTAGGAACTTTTCGCAGTTCTAATTCTTCCGGTGTCAGGCTATTTCCTAGTAAACTCTCAACACTGGAAGGCTGGAGAAAATTCGGCTTGTCAGCTTATGTCACTTATGACAGGATATTTGCAAAAAGAAATTTGGGAATGTAGTTTCAGCAGCCACAACGTTTTCACAGAACATCCTTGACATCATTTAAAGTAGGAGCCATTTTAGCCAGGCAACTTATTAGAAGATTACACCTCTGAAGTCTAATGTCTCAACAGACCTGCCTAATATCCTCTTTTCAAGAAGTGTTCACTGGCTAGGTGGTGGCAGACCATGCCTTTAACCCCAGTACTCAGGAGGCAGAGCACGCCTTTAATCCCAGTACTCGGGAGGCAGAGGCAGGCAGATCTCCCAGTTCAAGGCCAGCTTGATCTACAGAGTGAATTCCAGGACAGCCAGAGCTACACAGAAGAAATCTCTTTAAAAAGCCAAGTGTTAACTGGCTGGAATGCTGGGCCTAAACAGACAGAAGACAAGTGCACAGGATTGCCAGGCTTCTCTGCTCCCCTCTGTTGTTTGTGGGGAGGAAGGCAAACCTATGCCAACACTGGAGCCACCAGAGCCTGTCACTTGAGGTCCTACTCTACAGCTCTTGACTCAGCAAGGACAAGTCACTTGAAACACGTAGTTGTACATGCGCTTCTTGCCAACAGGGGGAGCATTTTATTTATTTATTTATTTTTTAAAGAGAAAAGGATCCAGGTGGTTTCCTGGTTAGAGAAAAGGCAAGGAGGAGACTCTGGAGTGAACAGCTGTGCTTCAACCGCAGGGAACATCTCCTGTGGACGCAGTTCTCCCTGCAACAGTTACAAAGACATTAACGGCCTTCCTTTTCTTTTTATGGAGTATAGAGTCCCAGTTAAACGTCAAAGGATGCAAAAGTAAATTTTTGATTGCTCAAACATGGTTAAGTTCCAAGAGAACTTTAAAGGATGCCACAATGACCTGCTGCCAACCATACCAGGCACATGGTTAGGCCCTAGGAAAAACAAGTGATTGAGAAGCATGTCCCTGCCCTGTAAATGACCCACAAAACACAAACGCATAACTAACTGTCAGACGTTGTAAACAGACAACAAACTTTAGACTAAAACTGGAGAACTGCCCAACATGTTGTGTGTCCCTTTCCTGGAAAGAACGATACACAATTTTTGTAGAAATGTGAATTATTAGTCCTTATATTTCCCTAGTCCCAGCACAATTCTTCCAGCTGCAGATAGCAGTCATCTACCCACATTAGATACAGAAAAACTAACTTTTTGCAGGAAGATATCCCATGCTGGTGCAGTAACACTTTGAAACTTAGCCCAAGGGTGATAATACTATTATTATAGGAGTGGCACCCTATCTATGGTAAATGCCAAACCCACACAACAAAGGGACAGACTCTTCAAGGGGTCAGTTAACTTTATTATCTTATATCAAGGTGTTTTTTAAAAGCAGGGAGTACATAAAACTAAGTAACAGCTTTAGCGTTGCCAATTTCAGATGACTTCAACAAACAGGTCCCAGAGATCATGCCGATTTCATCCAGCACTGACTGGTAATGCTTAGCGGCAGGATCTAACCGGTCTCACCTAACCTTTGAGTTGTAAGCCTTCACAGTTAAACGGGATAGTTGGGTCTTCCGTGTAGGGAGGTAGCCCCAAGCCCTTAGATGTAGTAATGTATTTGTTTAAATTTCTAACCGAAGTTTGTGGACAGGTGTGAGATGTGACAGCCGCTTAAAAGAACCTAGATGGTGGAGGGCCGAAGCAAACACCCTGGAGAAATGAAACGTGATAGCATGCCAACCAGGGCGAGTCAGTCCCGTTCACACTTATCTCCAAGGCGAATTGTGTGACGGGACGGCGGGAGGCAGACAGACACACAGACACACAGACAGACACACAGACAGACACACACACACTTCCCCGCTCAGGCCCTCCCAGCACCCGAGCCGCTTTCGTCCGGACGTGAATGAATGAGCCCGAGGCGCAGCGCCGAGCCCGGCCAGCGACGGGGCCGCGGGCGGCCTGGCCGAACAAAGGCGCGCGGGCTCACCTCGTCACCCCATTTGAGCACGTCCTTGTGCCGGTCCTTGACGGCGTGGTAGATGTGCAGGAACTGGAGGATGCCGTGCCGCCGCACGTGGTCGGCGTGCCGCTGGGTCTCTTCCCAGCTCAGCGGCGAGCCCTGGGACAGCAGCCCCATGGCCGAGTCCTCCTCCTCCTCCTCCCGGCCGCAGCTCCGCCCTGGGGGCGCCCTCGGGCCGCGCGGCGGGCGTCCCGTCCGTTCCCGCTCCGGCTCGGACC